GCTGCGCTTGTCGTCGGGCCCTGTGTAAGGGAGGGAAGGAATTATAACACAATTTTACAGATTCCTCTCAGAAGTTTCATCTAGACCTATAGTTTCGTCAGGTTTGAAACCAAAACTAAAAATTACTGAAGCTAAAAATACGGCTGGCCATCATGCGTGTTTAGGACTAAACTTCGGAATGCTTGTCTATAATCGACACTGATAAGCAATAAGACATTTAGCACAGTCTCGCGAGTATAAGCATTCGCACACTACCATACTTCCGACTTCTCCCCACGGACACTACAGTGCAAAAGCTGTGTAAAGCTGTCCCAGTTCATGCGCGACAACTTCCACTTTGTTCTTTAATAATTTGCTTGTGGAACACTGGAATGAGGTAGAAGCAAAAGCAACCGGCATCCTCAGCTCTTTATATGTGGAGAAATTAATTTTTCTTCCACCCGAAGCATGCGTGCTTGAAATGCATTACAAAGTTTGTCGTAATGAAAGCTGTGATAAAGGTGGTAACAAGTGTAGACTCGGAGTTTCCTTATTTGACAACATAGGCCATAAGATTTTCTGAATTCTTTTATTCAAGCAGAAAAGAGGGAGGAGGGCTTTAGTAACCACCATCGTGGTGGTAGTACAAAATTTTACAGTTCTTTTGGGGCTGTTTATTTGTGCAGTGACGGTTTCTATTGCGACCACTTGTGGGACAATTGTTTCTTGGGTTAATGGACTGGATATGTTTACGTCCAAGCTGAGGGCACTTTGACGACGTCACTTTTATGGGAGTGACCAGTATTTGGATTATATAAAAAGCTACTTCTCTTTCCTTCTTGATAAATTTTTTAATGCAGTTAAAATGGTAGTGCGTCTGTTGACGTATAAAGTAGTCTTTATAAAGGTGTACAGCCAAGCTCTAAGACAATCGTGCCTCGCTAACCTGCCTCGCTTTTCAAGGCGCTCATGGGTGATGTAGTGATAATACTTTCTGACATCAGCCTCTCAACAAGGGCACATCGGGCGAATAAGGCCCCTATTTATGTCATGACACTAAGGGAAGGGCTACGGGGTGTTTAGAATGGCACATAAATAATTGCATAAAGTCCATGCTTAGAAGAATAGGCTTTATGATGGACAGGTCGGAGCCGATGTTTACAAGAGCGACTACTCGGTCTTGGTACACAAGCCGATCTCATGGATGCCACTAGTGTAGGATCGTCGGATTTCCCGCCAAGATGAAGGCAGTTAGTGGAATCGAATGCATGCTTTTAAAGCGAAGGAGAGGATAAAAAGCATTTTGTGTTTAAAGTGGCTCTTACAGGTGGGAGACAGGGAATTAATCCAAACCCTTTTTTGAAGTATTCACCTAGCAAATGAACCTGGCCTTTAATACACCTTGATTGGTGTAAACCTTGTTAATGCCAATAAAACTCTACTAATAAGGGCCTATTCAGAAGGTCTCAGACAACTGCCAGCAACTATGGTAGCAAACATGCATTCCAGGAGGAAAGTAGGGGATTGGAATTTTGTCCTTGATTCAAGACTCCTCCCTGCCCACACATACAAGAGAAAAACATACACCAAAGTAAGCACCAGGTGCTAGGTGGCCACGTAAACAAAGCATCATAATTTCGTAATCTTTTCCACAGACTTTGTTTTACAATCCTCAAATGATTCACAGAATCCTCAGTTGTTGAATTACCATCCCTAATCAGAACCAACTCGAGCCGGTGAGGGGTGCACACCCGAGACTTCCCACCAGGAAGAAGAAGGCATCACATTGGGTGGAACATATGCCTATTAAGCGGAGAAGAAGGGATGGCCTGAAGGCTAATCCACGCGTACAAAGGTAAGACGAATATCAAAGTAGCCGCTGGACATCAGGCGGTCACATGAATAATGTAATACAATATGAATCAAGTACATTTAGGTCACACTGTAATGCTTTGTTCTATGTGACTACCTGACGTTTGGCGGTCACGTAGGCTGGCCTTCGGGCCACGCTCAGGCTCCATTTGCCCCATCGTTTTCAGAATACATGCATTCAACCTCACTTATGCCTTCTTCCACCCTATGGGAAGCCTCGAAACGCTATACAAGCATCATTTCCCACATGCATAGGAGCTTATTACTGGCGTGGCGCCGATTATTTCGTGGTAGTCAGCACAGGTAGTATTATAGGTAGAGCGTCGAAACCTTTCTTTGAAGGCTTTAGCTACTTTTACGACTATGTCAAATCCTTATCTAATTTCCTTCTTATATGATTATAGATTGGCAGCCTATTCTAATATCTTATACCAAATAGATAACTTGAGACGTCCGTGCTAATGAATGTAACGCCAAAAGTGCACGAAAGAAAAATTAACAAGTTTTTGAATTTGATTTCTAAGTATGCCTCAATATTGCCTTTTGGTTACAACTAACTGGAGCATGGAATGATGCTCATGCTACTGCGTATTATCTACTAGTCTTTGCTGCTTCCTTAACACTTTTGCTCACCAATTAGATCTGACTTTTAGTGCCACTATTCGCCATTCTTCATGACTGGATGTGTCTTGCGCTTTCTATCTGTGGATCTCTTCAAGACTCTTATCTACCCTAAGGAAAATATTGTCAAAACTTATATTCGGTTCGCTCAAAAGCATCTTGACCATGAATACAATTTTCAAACAGTCATGGACAACTTCACCGAAGTCTATGTTCATATGGGGAATAAGTGGCCCAATTTCGGTCGTTTTGATGGAGTCAGCGCTGAACGTTGGTGGAATGAGGTTGTAGGTTTTCGAATTAATCCAAATAAGGGTGAAGTTTGTCCAAACTTTCGCGCGAAGCTCCTCATTCACTGAGACTTGTGTTAGACGTGCCCTCACACTGAGTGCTACTAATGAAATCTATTATTGGTTTTCTTCCAACGAAGCTTGGGACTTGGCTCCCGGTGCGATCAAGGGTTTGAGTAAGCTGACAGACGCGGGGATTAAGTTGGCTGTTCTTTCCAACTCCGATGAAAGAACTCCAACTATCTTGAAATCTCTTGATCTCAATAGGTTTTTCACGGTGAGTTTTTGGGCTATACATGCGGTCGACAAATCGTTTAGACTGTTTAGTCAGCTTTGTCTCAGTTTGTTATCTTCTCTCGGAGCTGTGATTACATGAAACCAGAGGCGGGCATATTTGAATTGGCTTACCGTCGTTTTCTTGGTTCGGGAGTCGCTAATGAAGTGGCCTTGCGGTCACAGATGACACAATATGGTCATGTTGGAGACTCAGAATCTCGAGACTACTGGGGCGCATTGCGTGCTGGATGCGGACGTGCCTTCCTACTGACAACCGAGAACTCCAAATCCTGTTTTTGGGCCTACAAAGACAACACGTCTGGGCGGTTTCAAGAACTTGTTCCTGCTCGCGACAGAATCTCATCGCTAGACCAAATTTTGGAGCGTCTATAGGAATACATCTATTTCTGCTTAATGTGCATGAGTATAACTTATATGTAATTCCAGAATTTGTAACCCCTCAAGCATTTAGGCATAAATGAATGGCTGATTGTTAATCTTTTTTTTCCAGTTTATTTATTCTTTAATTCGCAAACGCTTTTATGCATTCTTACTCAAACTTTCGCATTTTTTATTAAAATCTTTGCTTTTATAAGATGGTTACCTACGGCAGTTAGGAAGGGTCCATTGACCGACTTTGTGTGTTTGCTAATGCGGTTGTTTTGGTATCTGCCTTATTCCACACTTAAGAGAATTTACGCACAACTGAAGGCCCATGTACACAAGATGGTGTAGTCCTCATCAAGATTACAAAGTATGGACAGCGATGTTCTGATTACGGACTGTTTTTATGTTGCCAAAGTTGGAAAGAGTCGACAACAGATTCTTCATACTTCTAGTCTGCATAAGCTCCAGTTTTATTCCACATCCTCCATTTGTAAAATTCAGCGTTATTTTTGTAAGACACCGTGGATTAACGGTCACATAATGTGTTGGTTGATGCTTTAAGGTGCAGGAAATCTTGTTCCTTAAGTAGGCCTGGTCCAGTGAAGTACTGGGGCTGAGATTGGGTTGGTCAGATGTAGACAGAAAATTGTCAAGTGGGAAAACTAGTGATTTTAGGAGTAGTGAGCGACTCTGAATAAGATTCCTACCAAATGGATGCGATTGCCCGAGGCAGACTTAAGCACTTGGTGTCTGGGTTTTCATTGCTCGTCCCTGCGCTCTGAAGGCGAGGCAGAACGCATTGGCCTTTGACACAGTGAATTCGTTGTTCGAAGGTGAGGCTCAGGCAAGCAGCAACGTTTGGACCATCCGGAAGGAATCTAGGGACAGAAAAGTGCACTTCCAGTTTACCAATTTGACTTGGAACAACTGAGGCGCTAACTGTTTTGGCTCTCATCTTATTTTCATATTTGCAGACTTGATCTCCGCTACCCATTCCTGAAACCTCTTTAAACTGCATAAGCCATTTGGCTTTTGGAAATGTATCTTTCACTAGTTTTTGGTGCCTTTGAATGGACTTAATACGAGTTTAGGCTGGCGAATTCGCAAATGGACATCGGATTACTCTTACTTCTTAGGCTTTGAATGCAGTACCAAGGAAGCCCAAGGTGGTGGATTTCAGTTCGTTGACACCGCGGCAGCAAGTGGGTTTGCGGTGTCTCCGTGTGGCACACTTTCTATTGGCCCGAAGTGGTCTCTTCATGGCCATTTTTCTTCTCTGTTTGCTGAGCGAACGTGCCGATCACGAGACACACCCACCGGTTCATCCGTGGATAATCTATCTCCACGTAAGCCCTACTATTCATTTTACCTACCGTCAGAAGGACTTGGCTAATAGTTGCTACCCTCTTGACAACTGCTTGTTTAGTGCGTGCAGAACTATTGAGGATTCAGTCATCATCATAACTGATCTTACTTTACTTTAAGCCAGAGAGTTGAGTTGGTTGTTTTTCTCCTCTCCTCGACTAATAGTAGTATTGCTATTCTTGAACACAAAAGTAGATGCATTGCAGCATAAAGTGTGTAATTGCGGCATACGGTGGCGTAGGATTCAGATTAATCTCCTCTCAAGTGTCTGGTGCTTGAACTTTTGCATTTGTTGCTACAAAAATGATGCGTTGTTGCATTGTTACTACGACCGCAGCAACTGAAAAGCGGAGCCGGTGATGCTAACAAAACAGCGTAGCAATAACATGCACTCAGAACACTTGACATCCTATTTACTTCCTCCCGCTCCTAGCTTGCTGATTTTAGTTTCACAATCACTGTTAGGTCTTACAGGTGTTGAGGCCAATCAAGGAGTGAGTGAACACATTTTTCGGCCTCCCAAAATCTACCATCTTTTTTATGCTTGCAAAGCTCGTAGTAGTGAGGGTAGCCTCGGGTTGCAGTTATAAACGTATGCAATGCATGACTTCATTGTAATTGATTGCCCTCCGAGATTAATCGTATGTGAAGATGATGTATGATTGTGTACCAAGGCGTAAAATCATTGGTAGAGTTGGTTGCTTACCTCCCAAGCATTTTAAAAGTTCTGTGGATTTTTTCTTCCTTTTTCATCAAAGTTGTATAATTTAAATACAGTAGAAATGATTCGAGCGAAAATGATTGCACTTATTCTTGACCCTCAGCGTCTAATCGGTGTAGATGGAACAATCGGCCCGCGATTCTTTGACATAAACACTTGCACTGACTTCAGGTGGAGCAGGTTCTGACAGTTGGAAGCCATCATGGTTGTAGCATTCAATTTCGGAAAGTTCGTATCTCACGTCATGAAGGGTAGGTTGGAATCTTGTGACTACAATGTGATGCCGAAAAGTGGAATGAACAACAGTAAGGAAAACGGTTTGTGTCACGGTTTCTTGGCTGGTCAAGGGTCGCAATTCATCCATGCGTTTGGATTATTGGCAGCGTAGATGCACCCATCCAATGCACCAATGTCCTGCGCATTTCTTTTGGGAAATAAGTTGCCTCATAAACCGGAATTGATTACTGATTTCAACCTTATCACTTTGACTTCTTCACTGAATGAATCAAGTGATTTAAATATCCGCAATTTTTCGCTACCTCTTTATAGGCCAGCATCTATCTGCTCACCTCGACCGGCATGTCAGTGCGCTTATTTCCAAGCGCCTCTGTTTTCGTTGCGGCGGCCTTCTACATCCACCTTGCCTACCTTCTGGGTTTTGAGCCAGCGTTCGGTTACCCTCCGTGGCTTCGGATACGGGTTGCACTACGCCTTTTGGCTTTGGCGGGTGCCAGTCTTCGAATGCTCGCTGCAGGGGACTTTGACCCTTCTCGACATTGTGACAAACTCGGAGCGGGTACCTTGGGCTGTGTTTGTGTTTTTCTCGCTCTCCTCTCCCTCCCCATTATGACACCGATCAACGTCGATATGCGCGCGCATCACCATGAGATCGCTTCCGCCTTTCCAAATGTCTTCGTGACCAACTTCATTCACTGGGTCATTGGAATAGCTTTCTGTCTGGCCTTTGTCGGTTACACATTTCCAGTTCTTGTGGTTCTTCCCCCAGGTAGGAAATTAGCGAGATGTGCTAATTTCACTGTGTTTGAATTGCAGTGCGAAGAACTAATTCCAACTTAGATTATTTGCAAAGGTTCATTTTAAACAGTTACCACTCACTTTTTAACCATAAAAGCGTTAAATTACCTGTACGTCTTCAAACAATTTTACGATTGCAGCACGTCCTCGCGGTCAGATTTCTCCTGAAGTGATACTTGTCTGTTTTAACTTCCAATTATTAACGAAAAATAGCACTAGCATTAAGTGCGCAGTCTTGAGACAAGTAGCTTCCACCTATTAATGACCCATTCTGACCTTCCTTAATTCTCTAAGTGGCTTTTACGACGTTTCGCGCTTGAATTTTTCTACCTCACTATTGGGACTACGGCTGCGTTCAGCCAGTTGAGATCCTACCTAGGCAGGGAGCGAGTGCTGTTTTTCACGAGGATGGTGGAGTGGGCGGACAACTTCACTTGTTTGGGCTTGTGCCTTACCCTAATCGCCAAAGATGCCAATTGGACCTACTGGAAAGCACAAGGCGTTGAATTCTGGCTGCAGAACACAGTCATCCTTGCGGAGGTGATTACGATAGCCTCAATCGCTGTTGGCGCCAGTCTGCCCTGGTTGGGAAGAGTGACGAAAGAGCCGCACCAGAAGGAAGAGTAATTGTGAACGGTTGACCCTTTATAAAGCACAACTACTGCTTGTCTGACCACAAACAACCTCTTTTCATGTACACTGACTTACTTCCTCTTGAATACAACTACCCGACTCACTTCTAAAACTATCATGCTTGATACCAGTCCAGACTATTCATAGACATTCGTCTAAATTCAACTCCGTCAATAAGTTCCCCATTAGGGTGGCTGATTTAACGGACCAAA